TCAGGGCCGGCTTCCACTGAGCATGCACACTGCCACTGGTGCTGAGGAAACGGCTGTGGAGAGTGCTGTCAAGTACGCACTTGTTGCTGATGTCAGCAAGGCCAAAGGGCTTGAGCCGCGCAACCTTTCAGAGGCGCGCGCTCACCCGATTGGCCGCATTGGGAGAAAGCTATAAAGGAGGAGTTAGAGATGCTTGAGGCGAACAGCACATGGGAGCTTGTTGATGCACCTGTTGACACCAACATTGTTAGCAATAAATGGGTCTTCCGCGTGAAACACGACGCGGCTGGCCATATCCAGCGGTACAAAGCCCGGCTTGTCGCGCAGGGTTTCTCACAAGTCGAAGGTGTTGATTACTTTGATACTTTCACGCCCGTGGCTCATCTTGCATCTGTTCACACTATCCTCGTATTGGCTGCCCATCTGGACCTTGAGATCCATCAAATCGACATGTCAAAGGAGCATACTTGAATGGGAAACTCACCGATGATGAGCACATTTTTATGCGCCAGCCCACTGGTTTCCCTTATGCCAACTCCACTGGCAAGGTCTTGCGCCTGATCAAAACACTTTACAGCCCGAAACAGAGTGGATGGTGCTGGTATCAGCGATTTGCGGAAATATGCGACACATGTCAACTCATGCGGTGCAGCACAGACCAAGCGGTCTTTTATTGAATCAACAATACCGAGATTATTGTTCTTGCCGTGCATGTTGATGATTGCACAATTGCGGCATCAAATCTCGACTTGGTGAATGAGATCAAGTTAGGCATTGGGAAATATGTTGAAGTGGTAGATCTGGGCGGAATTTACTGGCTGTTAGGCATTGAAGTGAAGAGGAATCATGCTGAACGCACCTTATCCCTCTCTCAAAAGTCCTATATCAACTCCATCGTGTGCCACTATAATTTGAAGCTGCTTTCCCTTCTCATGGACCCGAATTCCAACCTTTCGTCAGTGGAATCCCCTTGTACTGCTGAGGAACTTGCGGTGATGCAAAACGTGCCCTACAAGGAGGCCATTGGCTCATCAACATATGCTTCACTTGCAACACGTCCTGACTAGGGATGGACACGGGTACAGGTTTGGTAGGGATGGACACGGGTACGGGTTCGGGTACAAAACAGTCGACCCGGACCCGTACCCGAGAAACCTGGACCCGTACCCGAGAAACCCGGACCCGTACCCACGGGTTTACGGGTCGATCACAGGTCTCGGCTCGAGTGTGCCGAACGTCATCCGGACGTCGGCATTTAATGCCCTTGATGATCCAAGCTCTGGCGCCCCCCTGGCACATAATTTTAAGCAGGAACAACAATATTACAGCACTCTCAAAGGCATACAATGCCGACCCCACACCTCTAGGAATAAAATTTCAACATTTTAAAGGGAATTTGGAGCCTGTATACAGGACCCGGGTAAAACCCGCGGGTTTCGGGTTTGTAAAACTGCCAACCCGCAACCCAGACCCAGTCAACCCGACCCGAAGACCCGACGGGTTTACCCGAACCCGTGTCCTTCCCTAAGGTTTGGGTATAAAACATTCAACCCGGACCCGAACCCGGAAAACCTGTACCCGAACCCGCAGGTTTTAGGGTCGATCACAGGTCTTGGCTGGCATGAGCCGGACATGATTTGATCTACAGCATCTTGCACTGACGATGTTTCAAGTCTCGGCATCATGGAGCAGGATTTTAACCATGTTACTAGTGAATTTAAGCTCAGGAAAGTGTTATGTGCTGGTTTTCCACTGAAAAAAAATAGTTAATATATGTTTTTACCAGAGTTTCAATAGAATTTGCATGCTGTGCCTGATACCTGGAGGCAACCCGCGGGTTTCGGGTCTAGAAAACTGCCTACCCACGACCCGGACCTGCTCAACCCGACCCGGAAACCCGGCGGGTTTACCCGAACCCATGTCTAGCACTAGTCCTGACAATACCTTTGCCGTGACGAAACTATCTAAGTTTTCCATCAACCCCGGCATGGCACACTGGGAAGCTGCAAAGCACATTATTCGCTACTTGAAGGGTACGGCTGATTGGGAGCTCTCCTACAGCGAAATCTCACGCAAGCTCACCGGCTGGGTTAATGCAGATGGCAGTCAAGAGGAAGAGCAACATGTGAGCACGGGATTCGCATACATCATTGATGGTGGCGTGGTCTCTTGTTCATCAAAGCAGCAAGAACTCATTGTTCTTTCCACCACCAAGGCCGAATATGTTGCCACCACACATGCCGCCAAGGAGGGTCTATGGCTCCGCTCCTTTATTTCTGAAGTCTTTGGATCTCACGCTACCCCTCCCATTGATTCATTGCCAACTACGCTGTTCTCCGACAATCAATCTGCCATTGCTCTTGCCAAGGAGCGCCAGTACCACGTGCGGACGAAGCACATTGATATCTGCTACCACTTCATTCGCTACATTATTGCAAAGGGCTCGATTCAATTGATCTACTGCCTGACACACAACATGATCACAGACACCCTCACGAAGCCGCTTTCTAGCATCACCCAAATTTCTGAAACTTGCTCCATATTAGGATAAGTTGGTCTCATTCCCATAATCTGGCGGAGGGGAGCCAAATTTCCCTTGAATTATTGAAGGAGGTTTTTTCCTAATGTGACCACTATACAGATCCAGGCACAAATTTCCGATCACAAAGGGATGCTCACTAGTTTGGAAGACACTAACCAAAGGGAGGTCAAAGAAGCCATTACCAGCAAGCTGCGAGGGCAATTTTGTAGATGTGAACTGCCAGCACAATACTTTGAGGAGGCATCGCTGTGGCAGCTTCAACGAGTACGCAGATTTCCTTTCCCAGTGTCTCATTCTTATAATTTATTAGAAAATCACTGCCTGTGTCACACTTCTTGCCATGTGTAATATCACCCTGTGGCCTTCAACAACCACCTCTCCAGCTCCTGGGAAGGAAAATCAGCCCACCAACAAGGCAGCCACTCACTGTACTACCTGCAACCCACTGGACAATGCCGTCATAATCATACACAACTTTATACTCGCAGATGCCGGCGACTGCTCTCCTCGCATACGTCAACACCCTTATCGACCTGCCTAACTTGCCTTTCATGGAAGGGCGAATGTCCAACATAAAGCTCCGCATGAGTGTCACGGGTAAGGTACCCATGACATACCTGCGGGTTTTTGCACACCCAAAACCTAAACCTGCACCTGCGGGTATTTGATTCCCACGGATGCCCCCACCCGCGGGTGCATACCTGCGGGTCTGCGGGTGTGCACAGGTATTTGGTGCACACAGGTGTCAGGCGGGTACCCGTGAAGGTACCTGCAGGTTTACAATTGACCAATTTTGTACATAACTGAACATAAGTCCGAAAATCCAATTTAAACAGTAGCAATGCATTGTGGCTCATATTGTTTGCATTATTCATATACCAGAGGGATGGGCCAAGCCGTGGTCAAAAGCAAAGCGCAACTGCGGCCACCGCTTTGACATGCACGTGATTGATCTGTGCTACACCAGGCTGCCGAAACAAACTTGTGGGTACCCGTGGTCACCCCAGACCCAAGCCCGTACCCGCGGGTATTATTTCCCACGGATACCTACCCACCTGCGGATGTCATACCCGCAGGTTTTTTCGACAGGTACCCGTACTGACATCTGCGGGTATGCACACTCATGCGGAGCTTTAGTCCAACATTGGACAATAAATGTGGGATCTGTGACCTCCGAGTCCCTTTATCATAAGCCAATTATAGACCAGGATAAACATGCAGGAAGGGCAGATAGACCTAAATAGCAAATCTCAAACACCTGTGAATATATTTTGAGGAGAAGTGGCACCGCTATTGATCAAAAGAGTCAGAATTTGCATCACCGAACTTGCAGCAACATCTTCTCACTTAGATTAGACCTTTTCATGCTTTTTTTTTTTGGAGACAAGATATAAAGTCAATGAATTGATTAACGGAAGGGATTTTGCGAGAGTGCTCTAGATAGAGTGCTATGGATTTCTCAAGACAATTTGCCCTAATTTGGACAGCTGTCAAAGTCACGTGCACCATTTACAGAATTTGTATGTCCCCTACCTTACCCCAGCAACTTCCAACACTTACCACCCACAGACCGATGGGCAGACGGGGTGCATCAACCAGGAACTCGAGCAGTTTGTCCGGCTTTTCACCAACTACCAGCAGGAGGACGAGCTCCTCCCGGTCGCCAAGTTTGCATACAACAATAACACCAGCCGACTCCTGAGGATCCCTCTGGGGCCTGCTCCTGAGTAGAATTGGTGAGCGAGTTCCATGACCAGATTGCTTCCAGCATTTTAGAAGCGAAATTGGCTCAAGGCCATGGGATTGACATAGTCAACCACATGATGGTCGAGACCAACCTTCAAAAGCGACTACGACTTCCTGTCACACCGTTATCACCTATCGTGATTTTCCAAGAAACGGCAAACACAATGCCGACGGCATATACAATGCCGAATACTCACCATTTTTCCAGTCCCCCACGACGGTCATTCCCTGACCTTTGGGCTGCAACACAAGCTATCCAAAGTCGCCGACCTTTGCCGGATTGTCTTCTCTCTAAGTAGATGTACAACTTGAACAACAACCTTCTGCCCCCGTCGACCGCCGACCCAAAAAAAATATACATACTATAATGTTTATTATTATATTATAAAACACGATAACAAAACAAACGAAAATATAGTGGTTCAGCCCCCGCCTCGCAGAGGCCCAATCCCACGTCATTGTAGTAATATATGTAATGTCTCCAACCTTTATCAAGGCTGTGTAGTGTAGCGGTTATCACTCGACTTGAACAACAACCTTCTGCCCCCGTCGACCGCCGACCCAAAAAAAATATACATACTATAATGTTTATTATTATATTATAAAACACGATAACAAAACAAACGAAAATATAGTGGTTCAGCCCCCGCCTCGCAGAGGCCCAATCCCACGTCATTGTAGTAATATATGTAATGTCTCCAACCTTTATCAAGGCTGTGTAGTGTAGCGGTTATCACTCGAGATTTTGAAATGATCACGTGACCTGTCATAGTGTGATTTGTAATTCTCGTAACCCCGGTTCGAACCCGGGCACGGCCTGTTTTTGCTGCACGCAACTTTGATCTCTCGTATCGATGGTGGTGTCTTTTGCTTGAGCATTGAATTAATTCGATTTCTAGTAACCTCGTTTCGACTTTTCTATGTTTTATTACTGGGGCTCTGTAACAATGCGCTTCAGCATTTGAAAATTTAGTGGGCTGGAGCTTCTGCAGAAACATTTAGTATGTTGCATTCGACGTTTCTCAGATTATAGGGACAACGCTCGGTTAGGTGTTTGTTCTACTATCGCTCAGAGCTCTGTCCATCCACCATCCGCCTCATCTCCGCCGCTGAACAGCGCTAGACCAAACATGATGATGCTCGCGCCGAGCCGCATCCCAAGTCCACGATACAACTGCCCCATGCCCGTGCTCCGCAGCCAGCTCTGGTCCTCCTTATACTGCGCAGGCGCTGGCATCTCCTCGCCACTAGCCGCAGCCCGCTCCTTCCCCTTGCTCATCCGCCGCTTCCTCTTCTGCGCCGAAATCGGCAGGTCCGACCGCTCCTCAGTGAGAATGTGCCAGAATGCATCGACTACGCCGTTATAGGACGCCGGCCGTAGCTCCACGCAACCCTTGATGGGCTTCGCCGTACCGCGCACCTGGACCTGTAACCGCCGACGCACCGTTTCAAAGGGTAGAGTGATCAACAGACCAAGACAGCTGCTTGCGAGCTCGGCAAAGCCCCATGCGATTGGGTTGGCATCCTGGGTAATTTGGACCCCGATGTAGGACGCAAGGAGCCCAGGAAGGATGAAGGAGACGATTGGAGGGAGTGTATTATCGATAATGGTGGGGATGAGGAGATGTGGGTGGAGGTAGATGCCCTTGAGCCCGCCTTCCTCGCGAAGTATGCGGGAGAGGGCATCAAAGGGACCGGTGTAGGTGCGGTGGCGGGAAGAGAATGACTGTACGATGAGGCGAGTCCGTACAAGGTCAAGGGGTGAAAGAATAAAACCCATAATAAGATGAGACAGTATAGGGAGAAATATTAGAGGGCGGTGGAATGCTGCGTTTGGCAGGAGGGTCTGGAGGAGACCACGGATCATGGGTTGGAAAGTCGATGTGAGGACTTCGGTTAAACATGACGTTAAGAGACCTGCATTCCTAATTAAAAAACGAATTGAAGACAGAGGGTCATGTACCTTTCCACAGTGACAACCATCCTTCCCCGCGGAACCGTCCTACTCGCCTCATCATGCCCCACACACCATTCGCGCTGCCAACCGGGATAATATATTCCGGGCGGGTGCCTTCCTCAAGCACAGAACGTCGAACAACATAGCCCTGTTCATCAGTTGGGCGCAGCGCGGCGGTATGTGGTGTGACATTCGGATCAGTAAAGTAAGAGTCATTGTCGTTCGAGGAGTCGCTCAACTATGCGTGGAAAAAGTGGTCAAGAAAGAACCGATGGGTCAAAAAGATACCGCACAGCGTCATCTTCATCAGGGATTTCCAAAGGGTCTGGGTCCCCCGCATCCCGTGGAACCCATTGAACCTGAAGGAGCAGTTTGCCGACTTCCCATGGCATTGCAATAGCACTACTGGTGTACTGCAGGATGGCAGACGCGGCGAGAGTCTTCAGGAGATTTATGGGGTCAATTCCATCAGACGGGTCCGAAAGCTCCGGGGAGAGGTCAAATATTGAGTTGTGGGACGGCCTGGATGACCACTGGTATGGAGGTGGCGCAGCAGGCACGGTGCTAGTGTTTGACGCAGGGGCTGGGCCTGACGGAACGAACGACCAGGCAGAGGTGGGGTCACTGTAGAGCCCGCGAAGAGAGGCAGACGAGGAGGACATTATAGCATTAAGAAGAACGCGTTCGAGGCTGATGCCAATCACCAACAAGCCGACGTAACGTAATTTGGGCCACAATCTCGGGAGTGCAATTATTCTCGACAAGAAAAATGGAGGATGACCTATTATTCCCAGTGAGGACGACCTCTGCCCGGGTATGCCCGGGCCTGCTCCGGTCTGCCCACTGTGCTGTCAGCAGGTCTGGGCAGGCTACAGCAGGCCTGGGCATAAAAATTGGAAACTTTGGCCTGGCGGTGTCTGCTGCAACCTGCTCAAGTCTGCCCAGGCCTGCAGAGGTATGCTGGGGTACGCCCAGGGCTGCTACTGCAGTTCCGAATTTCAGGTACAAATCATTTTTATTTTCGCTACAAATACAGTACATCCGGTGCGCAACAAATACCAAGTCACCGCGCCCAGCGCCAAGTCCACCGCCACGTCTGTCGAGGTCCTGCGCTGCGTGTTCCGCTGCCCGGCGCTGCAGTCGCATTCTTGAGGTATTCGTGTGAGCCGCCGGGTCCACCCTGCGCGTACGCAGGGCAAGCGCGTCGAGCAGCTGGTGCGTGTCTGTCGGGCAGCCGTCGGGGTTGTCGAACGCCTGCGACGCCGCGCAAGGGCAAGTCTGAGTCATAATTAGTGCGGACGGTGCGGGAGGAAGAAGGGAGAGCGCACGGAGCAGTGGATGCGCTCCCACGCAAGCGCGTCTGCAAGGGCATATGCCTAGCAGCGTGTGCGTCAGCTCACGCCCCGCCAGCACGACAGCGGTGTGTGGACACTCACATCGACAGGGCCTAGGCAGTACGCGCCACGCGCAGCATGCACAGCATGCTCGAGTGTGCCCATGCACCCGCGCCCCAGTCCGCTCTTGTCCGGCTCGATGCGCACCCGAAGTCAATCAAGGCGAGCGCGCCGCCGCGCCGCATGCACGTTCAGGAGCGCGTTGCCAGCGGAGATGTCCTGCGGCATACTGTCAGCTCAAAGCGCACGGAAAGGGAGGGGGACGCACTCGGTGGAATACCCCGCGCGCATGTAGGAATGCAAGCCCCTCGAGCGCCCTGCGCTCGACCTCCCACGAAATGCAGCACGAAACGGAGCGCGGCCGCCACGGCATCGCGACGAACGTCCACTCGCCCGCGCCGAGCGCGTCGGGCATGGGATCGCGTCGTTCGCGCCGGCCATCGTGCGCCTCTTCACGCACCGGGCCTGTGCCGGTTTACCAAATGCCGCCACGGCGCCACCGCACACGCCTGCATCATCTACCCCATCGTCTCGTGGATCCCACTGCGTGGCCTCGTATGGCATGTCGAACAGGTCTACGAAGTCGTCCCCGTCGCGCGGGCGGAATGCGTTGCGCGAGAAGTAACAGCGTGTAGCCGTGCGCAACGAGGAACGGCTCGAAGTGACTTCACGCGTCGTCTGCGAGCGGCGCGGTGTGCGGCGCGGTGTCAAGGCGCTCCCAGAGCGCGGACTGTGGCGGGAGCGGCGCGTGCGGGGTAGCAGGCAGTGGCCACGTTATCGGTCGGCAGTCTTCGCTTAAGTCTGAGAGACGCACCATTAAGCAACTCTACGGGGAGCGCCAGACGACCTGGAGACTCATCAGACAAGATGAGATGAGCCGGGGAAACCAAGAACCTTGATAGCAAGAGAATTGCAACGACGCAACGTGGACTTGAAAGAAAGATACGTGAGTATATGCGCTGTTTTCGGTGCAGATAACACACCAAAAGTTGCCAGCGATATGGGGCAGGGTTCCTGGAAGACTGCCACGACTGCCGAACTACCGAACGCGGATGAGCAGAACGGTGGGCCACTGGTGGGTTCGGGAAGACGAGGCACCTACTAGTAGCCTGACCTTCATGACGGCGCACGCGTTCCGGCACTGTACGCGACGGCGGGATGGTACAAAGAGGTCTCGAAGAGAGCGGGCAAGACGGCCTGCGCGACGAGATGTGCGTCTGGGAAGATGGTGGTGGAAGCAGAAAGGCAGAGGTACGTAATGTCACGGTCACAATACTATGTGCCGCACTCGCGCTGACAGTCTACAAGTTGTAGTAGTAAGTACACTTGTGTGGATCCGTGGGCAGCAGTTCGGGCTTACTTGTTTTTATTTTATTTTTTCAAATGCCAGTGAGCGATAGTAAGTAAACAAATTTCGAAAGTCTCCTTGATGCTCGAAAAATGTTTTCGGTACCAGCCAAGAAATAAAATAAAACCAACTCCATGGTTACGGAAAATTGCGCACGAGCAGATGTGGGCAGACACCGGCAGGTTTCTACCTGCCGCGTCAGATCAGAGCAGGCCCGGGCATACCCGGGCAGAGCTTATCCTCACTGGGTATTATTATTATTATCGTCGGCGTAAGACAACTCGAACTCGGAGCTCCAAACTGAAATACCTTATTTTTTGTTTATTTATTTAGTAAGTGACATCATGGCGACGTACATAAATATAGATATCGTTTGCCTTGCTTCAGCCACTCTCATTCCCTCCGCCATCATGGCCACCAGCTCCAATGGCGATCCCGGAAACCAGGTCGACGCCCTCATGCAGCACTCTGCGAAAGGGCGCGTCGCTGTCCATTCTTTTGACCCCGAAGCCCCACCTTCGGAAAAAGGTGCCGCAGCTGGCAAGGGCAGGGACCAACTGAAGAGCGTGAAGGACTCAGGCCCCGCTGCACGAGGTGCCGCCAGTCTATATGCCCTCGTATTTAATCTCATGTCCTTTGCAGAGCTCACAGTTGCAACTGGCAATTCCAACGTCGTCCCCACAATTACCATCGAAGATATGGACAACCAAAAAACTGCGGATGAGCTTGTAGAGAAGGACGACACTCCTCACCCCCCAGGTGCTCTTGCAGCTACTGCGGACGCCATTCCAGATTGGTACCGCGTTGGTTGGCGACAGGCATCAGGCATTGACGCTGTGCTCACCGAGGGCGAGGAACGCGATAAAGGTGTTCTGGACATGTTCCTTGGAGAGCAGTTCTATGGCGCCTGGTATCACAACGCTGCCCTCATCGTCTTTGTGCGTCCATCCTCATCGTTCCTCAGTTGGGGCTCACAGTACCTAGGCTGTATTCGCTTCACATTTTTTGACACGCTTCCATTTCGGCTGGGGCTGGCTATTCATCATTCTCGCCATTTGCAATACATACTACAGCACGTCAATGGAGCGTACGCGCCGCCGCGCGCGCGACGACATTCAGC